ACAGAGCGCTATAACACCAAACCCCAAAACCACCAACTTACCCTGAACCCTAAACCCACAATTGAGTAGTATTTTATTTGGGGATACTATGCTACCCAATATAGAGTAAGATTCTATCCTCCTTTTGGATATAGTGTTTTATATAAGGAATGTAATCTTCCTGTGTTTCCCCACCAGAGAAAAAAAAACCTACTCGACCAAACGGGTGTACGGTTTAGGGTCTAGGGTTCCGGGTTTAGGGTGTAAGGCTTAGGGTGTACTGTTTAGGGTTCAGGATTTAGGGTTTAAGATTTAGAGTGTAGGGTTTAGGAAATCTTTAGGGTTTAGGGTTTACGGTTTGGGGTGTAGGGTTTAGGGTTTAGGGCCATCATACAAACGACAGGGTTGGTTGGTAAACTCCCCATAATCCCTTTTGAGTTTTGTATAAGCAGATATTTACCTAGATTAGATTGTCTCAGTTTTGGAGTTATCGGCATTATGGGAATGTGTGGGATTCGGAGATGAAACTGGCGGGATTAAGGACCCTACAGGAAGAGGTATCTTACTCTCAGGCAACATAGAAGAGATGTTGATGAGCTGCTATTTTTTCCAAAAGCAAGAGGGATGCCAGAAGTGAGAAGCTGTGAAGACACTGGTTGGTCTATGGCTGTTGCCACTAATGCTACTGCTGCTAAAGCTACTTCTGCTGCTGCTGCTGCTGCTGCTGCTGCTGCTGCTTCGGCTACTGCCAGTGCTAGTGCTGTTGTTACTGCTACCGCTACTGCTACTCCTCCTCCCTTTCTCACGGCATTTCCTAACCTGATGCCGACATTGATGCTATGCGGGCCAAACCTTCATTCCTAATTATGGGTAGGAGTGATATCACTAGAACAGCGATGTTAACAATAAGCGTCGTCATTCGGTGGCATCCAAGGCATCAGCTACACCACTGGCTGCTTGGCACAGCTGCATCGCAAGCCTGGAAATCCGCGTGTAAACTAACGTGTTTTCATTCTTTTCAAGGACTGGCTGGACTTGTTACACAGGTCAGGATGAAGGTGCGGAGATCGTGTGCCCGTAATACTTGGTGCCACCCCAGATGTAAACCCCAGCTTAGGTCGGCGTCCAAATGATATGAGGCATGTGGGAGGAAGTGATCTTGACAATCTTGAGAGGGGATGGCGGGGGAGTGGTATGTTGTGATATGCAGCTTCGACGCTCGGCAGACGAACGTTTCTTCGGGATAGTCAGGCAGTGAAAATAGAGGGCGCTCGTAGAGGGAAGAGGGCAACAACAATAGCCAGGCTTTGAGATTTGCCCTTGCTTTTTTGGAAATGGAGACGTGGTCCGCCAGTATAGCAGTACCCACAGAAGCTCCACAAGAATTCCTAATCATGCCCCATTCCTCCATTCCGGTCCATTCCCAACAAAGCATGAATAAGAAGGTGGTTGCCCACCAGTGAACTCCTTCCTGCTGGTGCCTCGCAAGTCCCTAAACATGAGACCTAGCTTCAAACCCCAAACATTCAACCCTCCCTGAACACCAAACCCCAACCCCCCTTACCTCTAAGCCCTAAACCCTAGCAAAAAACCTCAAACCACAAACACCAGAACTTAAGATCCCACATTGTCAACCTTCTGGCCCAAAGGTCAGCCTTACTTGGCCTGCTCAAAGGATTTGGATGCTGGCTTCTGCAAGGCGCGTCATGCAGCAGCTGGAGAAGTTGAATAGAACAGCAAATGGAGAACGAATTGTCAAGTGGGCTAATCTATTAGGTTTATGGCAATACCTGCTGGTAGCCAGTAGACAATGAGTGCATGGAATTTACTACCTTGGGGGGGGTTCAGGTCACGGGAATGGAGGAGTAGGATAACAGGGCAATTATCAAACAAGAAGTCCATTGGGACTTCTATAGCGATCTCTGCCTGGAGGTCCAGGAACCACCAGTAGTTGCAGGGCAGGAGGGGTTAGTTGTGGCTCTTCTGATTCTCACGAACATGAAAGATTGAACTGGCCGTTTTCCTGGCCTCTTTCCCCAAAGTCAACCAAATCTCCCTGTTGTTACATGTGTGGCACTGCTGTAGGCATGCGTTGCGATGATCACAACCCAGCATCATCTCCACGTGTTGCCAATGTGTTTACAGCCATTGTTGCCATTATTACTTATGAGCCGGGCTAGGACCGCCCAACATTCTGGGCGTGACATAAATCAGACGGCTTTGGCACATATGCCATGGCCGCCACTGCGGAACAGCCATTGCCGTCGCCAAAGCCAAAGCTACCACCGGTGCCGCCACCTCCACAACATTGCTAGTTGTGCTGTTTTATGTACCGCTGCCAGCCACTGTAACTACCGCCACGAGCATTACTATTCTGAGCCTTCCTGTGAATCCTTTACCATGTTGGTTCCATGGCTAATACATTTTACATTGTTCTCATGTTTGATTCGTCAGGGCATGGACTTCACATGCAACGCAGAGAATGTCCAGCGCACGTGCGCCACCTTCGGGAAGCAGTGCGTGGGCCTTGCCAAGTACCCCAATGCCTCCGTTGCTGAGTATGGCTGCTTCGCTGAGACATGTGTAGGACCTTGAGGCCCGATGCCCCTCAACCAACCTACCTTAAATGGTACTGTCATCCGGTATAGGATTTTGGATATACTCCTTGGTTTGGGCACTTGATACGGATCTCTGAAGAAAGCTCAATGCTTACAGACAGGACACTTCAGTGTGACCTGGTAATTTCCCAAATAAGGGGAAACCCAATATAGACCCCAAAATGTAAAAACCTGACCATAGAGACCCTGAAAAGGTACCCCCCAATTTTGGGACCCCCCGCCGTTAGTTTCAGACATGGACTGCTACACTGCGCGCGCGAAATCGGAGATAGAACTCCAGCTCCTACAGGTAGGATCCGGGGCATCAAGGGTTTTAGGGTGTATGATTGTAGGGTGTAGGGTTCAGGGTTTAGGGGAGGCCAAAGCTATAAAAATCTTCAGAACCAGCAGAAGAAGATAATATTCAGATCAATGTCTTAACTATCATACAACCCTGTGATCAACACTTGAACGTGGGAATGGTAATCTGAGCCTCTGCTCACCACAGCGCCACACACTGTGTGCAAGTGAGCTAGACTCGAAACTCCTTAAAATGGGTTCCATAACTTGAATACGGGAATATTGTAGCATTATAAGGGGTTATGAAGGGGGATACTAGCAGTTTAGACAGTAGCTCAAGTTGCATCCGCAAGAACCAGCTGAGGTTCAATCCAGGGCAAGGACGCCATGATGAAGGACCCGGCATACGCTTTTATTGTAAATGTTGGATCCCGAACGCACTAAGCACTACACCCTAGGCATGTAAGTACAAACAGTGCCTACTCTCAGCTACTTGGATTCCTATAGGAACTTGAACAATATGAAGCCGAAGGAAATGAGAGGCTTCAGGTTTAGGGTTAGGGTTTAGGGTTTAGGGTTAGGGTTTAGGGCTTTAGGGTTTAGGGGTTCATCCCCGACATGTTACGTCTTGTGGCTGTGGTAGAAACATCCCAGCGAGTGGCGCTGATAAGGGTGATTCCTGAAGACAGCGTACGCAATATAGGGGCCTAAATAATTACCAATATTATGCTTCATATTCCCTATTTAATTATAGTATATGGTACCTCAAATGTAGGCCACTGTAGTATCCTGGATCATTTGAGAGGTCCCATCATCAGCGTCGCGCTCCTTCAATCCTAGACCCCCCCCCAGGCACTAGCAGCTAAAGAATATGAGGATTCTCAATGGTTATATATGGTAGTTTCCCAAAATAAGGGGACCCCAATATAGACCCCAAAATACTATAGTCCTTATTATGGGGATCCCCAAAAAGGTACCCCTAATTTTGGGAAATCCCCATATAGAGTCGCCAGCACAAACCAAGACGGCCAGGGAGGTGCAGAACCTAACCGAGTCGCTAGACACTCACTGGGTTGCTGTAAAGGAACTTAAATTAAGTTACTATATTGGGGGAAACCCTATTATTTACTATTTAGGGTTTAGGGTTTAGGGTACTATATTGGGGAAACCCTATTATTTACTGTATATACCCAGTATGGTAACTTAATTTAAGTTCCTTAACAGCAATCCAGTCTAGCTGAAAGGAGATCTTCAACCGCGGGCCTATTGCCTGCAACGTTGACGCCGTGCCCATCCTCAACTACACCGGGGGCATCATCACCACCAAGCCCGGGGGAGGGGAGTGGGTTTAGGGTTTAGGGTTTAGGGATAAAACAGGAAGTCCCCATATCGCAGAGCCTCTCCCATGTTTCTATCCCGTCACTGCATGACAACTAGAAGGGCAACGGAAAAGGAACAGTGAATAGCAAGCGGCTTAACATGTTTTAACTGTCATGGCTTGAAGTAGCAGTCTTGCGTGTTGCAATAATTAGGTCCGGTTGTCTCAGCAGCGTGCAGTTCTGGTGTGTCTGCAAGCATATTCATGATGTAGGTTATGCTCTACATGCTCAATTATTTGGTATTTGAGACTCGTTCCCGCACCCTACTGTCAGTGCTTATGGTCCAAAACCTGCTGGTGCTTAGCAGGTCCAAGGAGACAGACCACACCATCTCCGTTGTGGGCTGGGGCACCGATGAGAAGCTGGGATTTTACTGGCAAGTGCGCAATTCTTGGGGCAACTCAGCAGAATCCAGAGCCTGACCTTCTAAGATGTTGGCTTTTTAAAAAAGAATATTTTCTTGTACGTCGCCCACCTAAACCCTAAACCCTAAACCGCAATGTATTTCCTGAAGCCCTAGCCTAGACCCTCCACTCCCTCAGCCCTAAACCCAGAGGTGTGCCCGCAGACCCATCCTGCAGGTGAGTACTGGGGTGAGCAGGGCTACTTCCGTGTGCAGAGTGGTGCTTTGGCCATGGAGCAGGCCTTGGAATTCAAGGGGCAGTTGAGCTTGGACTTAGAGTTTGGGGTTTGGGGTGTATAGGATTTAGGGCTTAGTATGTGCAAGAATTTGACAAGGTACCTTCTTAAGGTTCAAGTCCCATCCGCAGGGGCATGGGCGCTGTTGTCGGCCAAGTTGAAATGGATGAGTACTGGCTCATGCTGTAGGTTTGCAAAAGCGCTTGCCAGCATGCTCACAGAAATCCGATGAGGCACTTGATCCATTGAGAAGACTATAGAAGCTAATGGAAAAGAACATGGAACATGAAATGACAGCTGGGTTTCGTGTAGAGCTTGTGGTGTAGGGCCTTGCATAATATCTCTAGACCCTTGGGGCATCACCCTAAACCTTAAGCCGAATCCGCGGCTCCGCAGGCGAAGGCCTCCAAGGCCTACCGTTTCATTGTTTGCAGAAGCCCCTAGCCCTGAACCCTAAACCCTTAGCAGCCCCAGAAGTAAGGTTGCACCATTTTTGGGTTTAGGGTTTCGGGACCCCCTATTTTGAGAAATAACGACTTGTCCCTAAACCATGACATTCCAGAAATTCTAAGCCCCCAGGCTCTGAAGCGAATGTCTCAATCTCAGGGGAACCTATGGGAAGTATACGAAGAGATTGCAGGGGTCCCGTTTTGAAAGTTATAACCCTCAAGCCTAAGCCCTAATCCCAATTTCCAGTTCTGTTTTCAGAACCGCCTTGAAGGATAGCTGCACCTGGGCCACGGTCAAGGACTTCACAGCACCGGAGAAGCACAACCAGCACCTTGTTGGCATATCCTTTAGGCCCGCGGTTGAGTCTTTAAACCCTACACCCCAAGAGCTGTGCTTCCTAAGCCCTAAACAGTCAAGAATAGTGTCTTTAGGATTTCAGGGTTTCGGGGCTAGAGGTTTAAGGTTTAGAATTTTGGGGGTGGTGCTTCTGCCATCACCTGCAAATCTCAGGACCCATGTGTAGAGTTGCCTTGGGCTCGGGCGCGCAAATTTCTGACAATACAGGTCTTTCATGTGTTCAATGGTGCGGCTTCTGCGTGTGTGCGGTTTGTATGTTCCATCACATTCGGACCCTAAGCCTTAAACCCTAAACCTCTAAGTGTGACTGTTTTCCTTCAGATCGCTCAGGATAGATGTTTCTGTGAATGTGGCGGCCCGTGAAAAGCTCCTGAAAACTGACAGCCTGCCACTTCAACATGGTAGTTTCCATAAACAGGGGGACCCCAATATAGACTCCTTTCTCATAGATCCACGCACTCAGGAGGTTGTGCCAGGGCTGCTCTTCAAGTCTTCAAGCTTCCTGCACTTATGGCACAACAGCTGAACTGCTGGTTCTTAACACTAACTAGATTTTGTTACCGTAGTTCCTTAGTACCCTGGACCCATTGCCTTGCCAGATATTTCCCTAAACCCCAATAACCCTAAACCCTGAGCCCTAAACCCTTTAAGCCTAAACCCTTAGACGTCAGGAAGCCAGAACATTAGGCTTTGCCCTTGGTCCCAAGGTTCCACTGCTACGAGGCCGAGGGGATTCGTGGGAAGCTGTTTCGGGAACTTAGGTTAGGGCTTAGGGTTTAGGATTTAGGGTTTGGGGTTTAGAGTTTAGGGTTTTGGGTTTTGGGTTTAGTGATGGTGGGTAGGGGAAATTGAAAAGCACAAGTTATGACCAGGTGCTGTGCCGTTCTCTTTCAATTTATTCCTATCGTAGATACATGAGCCTAGTGTTTCGTAACACCCCTGCCTGGTTCTTGTTCTTGCCATCATTACGACGGCTAAAGAGCCTCTCAAGACCCACATCGAAGTGTGCCCAGTTCATAGTTCTTCGTGTGGTTGCCTTGTCGGTGCAGGGGTTCAGCTTTTCACTGCAGATTCCTCCCCCAACCCTAAACCCGAAACACTAAACACTAAACCCCAAACCCTAAACACTAAACCCTAAACCCTAAACCCCCCCCCAACCCCAGTCATCCTTCAGATCTATCGTGTCACTCCTGAGCTAGCACAGGAACCTCACGCCCCAAAATCTGGAAGGTGTATGGGTTTAACCCAAACGCTTGAGTCATAAACCCCCTCCCCTTAATAGGGATTGTAATAGGGATCCCAATAGGTAGGCCCTTGAAATCAGGGGGTTTATTAATCATGGGTCTACACCCTAAACCCTAAACCCTAAATAGTAGTTTCCATTTGCTTTTCCATCATCCCTATATATCCCTATATAAGGGAGCCTATGGGGGAGTTTAGGTATTAGGATTAATGACTAAGCACCAGGCCCGAAGTTCCCAAAAAGCCCCAGCCTCGAAGCGCTCAGGAAAAACTGAGATAATGGACAAGCAAATGGAAACT